CTTTAAAGTTGTTCGTATTGGGTTGTGACAATTTAAGACTAGTTGGCAATTCAATGTCATTAGAGAAACACCAACATTTTAGCTACAGTCTCACTGAATTTTGAGGATTAGCACCCAGGCCTCGTTACAAAGTTTGGACGCCATTTAAAAAGCACAGGTTTGTTTGATCTCGTCCACATATTAGCACACTTTTTTGTAAATGTGCTCGACTCAGGGATGATGCCACTGTGTGGCACCAGCTAGAGACTGCTTGTAATAACTGTGCTTGTTGCCCAGGTTTTTTTGTGAATGTCACTGCTGCATGTAAAACTCTAAATTATTTAATATGTTAAGAATGTGGCAACATGTATATTATAAGGTTTTTAGCGGCAAAGAAAATAACCAATAATATTATAGCGCTAGTTGAGTTTGTTACTAGTTTATAAAGTGATTGCAGATGCTAAACCACTTATCAAAAGTTTAGTTCCAATAATAGTACCTTAGCGGATGAGGGGATGTGCCCAACACTGGTAAAAATAAAATAAAATAAAATAAAATAAAACATGCCAGTTCTGTCATCCAACAGAGATAATTTGTTCCAGCACAGAAAGCTAAAGGCTGCAGGGAAGTGATTTTCAGGGAAAAATAGTTTTTACTGGCACTGTTGAAAGGCACAATACAGGTTTAGGAGCACATTTCAAACCCAAATTAAGTTAGATCCTCTTATTTAATGTGTTTCAAAAAGATGATGCAACATATTTTCTCTTCAGAAGAGCATTAGCATAACTTTTAGTGAAAACCCAACATTAGGGATCCTATTTTGATATAATATGTGCCCTAAGAAGATCTGTGCCACTTGTGTCTCTTTTTTAAAATAACTCTTCCAGTCAAACCAAGACATATTGTATGCAGCATCCTTTTAGGGGCATTAGAATAGAAGTGGTACAGGTTGATAGCTGCCAACTGTGATAAAGTTGATAAAGTTGGTGGCTTGCCTTGTCACATGTAAGTCAAAGACTTTTTGTCTCAGCTGACATCTGTTTTTCTTTTATCTGGCCCAATATCTATCTTGATATCGGACCTGATACCAGCATCTTTACTCATTCAGACAAAATGCCCCCAAAAATTGGAACTGATATCAATATCAGCATCAATGCGGTTTCTTGTATCGTTACTCCAATAAATGTGTAATTGTTTACTTTTTAAGTGAAAAGTTTGTTAGATCTTTGTTTTAGAAACAAGTTAAAAAATTTTTTTGTTATGTTGCAACAGTATTTCATGCTGTTTATTTAATTTTATCCAGTGAGAGGGGCTGTAGGTCTATGAGGAAGTAGAGCTACCTTGCTCTAAATTTGTGTTTTTAAAGTCTTTGTGTAATTTTTAAATTCTAACCCAATAAGTACGAAGTATTGGTACTCAGCATCAACAAGTACTCAAACTGAAGTACTCATAATTGATTTGAGAAAAACTGGTGTCAGAACACTAGCAGACAGATCATAAAAAGGTTTAGGGCACATGTGCAGAATTGTTGTTTTTTTCTGACATTCTTCTATATCTTGACCATAATTTTCACAAAATATCCATAGTACTCTCATGTAATTTACCAGACGTGGGGTGGGGGTGGGGTGGAGGGGTTGGAGTTGACAAGCGAACGCTTGGCCATGGAGACAGGATGTAGGGGAGCAGATGACAGCGTTTCTAGTGGCAGAGAGACGGACAAGGAGGTTTCCAAATAATTTCCTCAGAGCAATGCTGACTCTGAGACTTAAATTAGTTTGAAGCAAAGTTTGTTTACATGAAAAATGGGGGAAAATCTGTGTATTTTAGGGACAATGAATGCAAACACTGGACAAGGCAGATGCAAAATCTGATGATGCTATACTATTAAAAAAAACTTGAGGATGCAAGTTTTCATGCTGTAGTGTGTATTACAGCTGTGAACACGTGACATATAATTAGCACATGTGGCTAATCTCTCTTCTGTTGGAGGGGTGAGGGGTGGGTGACATGCAACCATGCACAATAATGACTTTCTGTCTACTGCCATGGAGAAGTTTAATTAACCATCCCCAGTCGGGGCAGATAATTATCGATAGCACACACACACACACACACACACACACACACAC